GTAGCTTCGATGACACCATCCAACCATCTCGTCCTCTGTTGTCCCCTTCTCCTCTTGCCTTCACACTTTCCTAACATCAAGGTCTTTTCCAGGGAGTCTTCTCTTCTCATGAGATGGCCAAAGTACTCCTTTCCCAATTTTGAACCAATCAGTTGCTCCATATCCAGTTCTAACTGTTGCTTCCTGTCCCATTTATAGATTTCTCAGGAGATAGATAAGGTGGTCAGGCACTCCCATTTCTTTATGGACTTGCCATAGTTTGCTGTGGTCCACACAGTCAAAAGCTTTCGTGTAGTCAATGAAGCAGAAGTACAATGGTGCCTCAACTTACGAACGTCCCTACTTACAACCATTTTGAGTTACGACCAGCTCTGGCTGCAAAATTGTGCTTCTACTTGCGACCGAAGTTTCCACTTAACGAACAGAAAAAGGCAGGGGAAAAGGCAGGAAATTCAAATTTCTAACTGTAGGTGGTGACAAGGCTGCTTCTTTGTAGCTCTTTTGCCCCAGCAGTTAGAGTGTGTGTGATCGGAGGAGGCTGCCTGGTAAGGTAAGTTGCTGTTTTCTGCTTTTTAAAAACTGTTTTGGGTGTTTTTGCAGTGTGGTTTTGGGCTGGGGGGGTTAAGTTTCTGTGCTGGGAAGGTCTTGGGGGGTTTGTTTGCTTTTGGAGTGTTTTTACCCATTTCCGATGGGTCTTGGGGGGTTGGTTGCTTTTTTGGGTTCCCGCCCATTTCCGATGGGTCTTGCATGCTTCCTTTGCTTTTTCCTTTGTTTTCTGTGCATTTCGGACCTGGTCCCTTTTTTCTCTGTATTTTGGACCTGGCCCTTTGCATTTCCAAACTGCTCCCTTTGTTCTCTAAGCATTTTGGACCTGGTCCCTTTGTTTTATGTGCATTTCTGATGGGTCTTGCATGTTTGATTGCTTCCCCCCCCCTTCAGCCTGAACGGATTAATCGTGTTTCCAATGAGTCTTGCAGTGATTTTTTTTTGTGATTATTTTCTTCAGCCAGAATGGATTAATTGCATTTCAATGCATTTCAATGGGAAATGGTGCTTCGACTTATGGACATTTTGATTTACGCCCATCTTCCTGAACCAATTAAGTTTGTAAGTCGAGGCACACCATAATCCAGTGAATGTTAGCAATTTGGTCTCTAGTTGCTCTGCCCCTTTGAAATCCAGCTTGTACTTCTGGGAGTTCTTGGTCTACATACTGCTGAAGCCTACCTTGGAGGATTTTGAGCATAACCTTGCTAGCGTGTGAAATGAGTGCAA